GAAAACGTCACTGATTGCGGGATCTATGTACTCCGTCATATGGAGACATTCCGAGGGACTCTACAAGACTGGCAGCCAGGATTCAAGAAAAATATGCGCTTGAATGTAAGACTACCATACATATTATAGTTTCAAAATACATTAAAAAATAAATAAAATTGCGAATGACTAATTACTTAATGTTCTTTGTTTATAGGCAAGCTTCATGTGTGAATTGCGAGCGAAATATGCTGCGAACCTCATAAAGTGGAGAATGAATGAAGTCAGGGGGGAGGTTCTGCAAGCGGCCAAAAGAGTTTCGAAGAAGAATTGAATGAATATTCTTCAACATGTTGACTGAATTCTAAACAATTAGAAAGTTTTTGTGAACTACATTGACAATGTGACTTGTATTTTGTGAATGTAGATGCATGATGTTAATAGCTAAATAACAATTTACATCTGATCTATGCACCTCTTTCTCTTTTCTCTTCTTTTCTTTTCTTTACTTTTTTTTTTTTTTTGTTTTTGTTTTCATGTATCAAATCTATAATTGCATGACTACTATAAATCCAGAATTGCAAAACTATAGTTCCATAATTGCATAACTATAATTCCATAATTTCATAATTATAATTCCATAATTGTATATAAACAATTCCACAATTGCATAACTATAGTTCCATAATTGCGTAACAATAATACCATAATTGCAAAACTATACATCCATACTTGCATAACTATACATCACAATTTCATAACTACAAATTCCATCACAATGGGGACTACACATGCATAAATGCATAACTATATTTTCATAATTGAATGACTATAATTTCATAATTGCATACCTTTCATAATTGCATGACTACAATTCCATAATTGTATAACTATAATTCCATAATTTCATAACTACAGTTCCAAAATTGCAAAACTACATATCCAGAATTACAAAACTAAAACTGTATAATTGCATAAAATCAATGATAACAACTTGTATTTCTCAATCTACACCTACATTGTCATCTAAACCCTTACTAAACTGAACAAAATCTGAACTTGAAGAACTTGGATGTACAAGGTATCCATCCCCAGCAAGCTTGGATATGTTTTCCAACACCAAAGACTGAACAGCACCCTTTGTACTCAATGCAGCTTTATTTGCAGCACTCCTTCTCCCCCTTGCAAGACTGTACTTCTTTTCAATAACACCACTCCTCCTTTTGTTACGCTCACCTTTCAATCTCCGACTTGAAGGATTTTGAACACCACCACTTGAAGATGAAACACCACACTCTTCAATATGCACATGCCCAACCTCGGCTTCAACCTTTTTCTTTACATCATCAACAGCCTCGTCACACAGTTTCCTCGCTACGCTGCTATCTTGACTAGACACAACTAATCTTTGAAATTTTCTACTAATATCGAACACCCAAATTGATGGAGGAACACCAACATTATAAACCATAGAATCAATGTTGACATTCCTACCATCAATAACCTTTTTAGTCCATCTTTTAAGTATATATTTGTCGGGAATACTAGAAACACAATGTACGTGAAGAATGCGTATACAATGACAACATAGAATTCCCAACTCAGACATCAACTTGCAACTACAAGAAATGTCCAAGTTGGCTGCATTAAAACTAACCTCATGCCTTATAATATCTATATCTGGCCGCCACACGTGATACTTCTGTTGATGGCCATCATTCAACACCATCTCTTGATGACACGCACTGCCTTTCATGAATTGTTCCTCAAACAGAAAATATATCTCAATCGTGTATACCTCTCTAGCATGTGAAAGAAGTTTCACATGCTCCATCATCATAGCGGGTACCCCTTGAGCACACCGAAAGTCTTCACCGTTCTCTTTACTTCTCCATTCAGAAATTACGCTTACAAACGATGAATAGAAATCACAAAGACCCGCTGTCTTGGACAACCTTCTAGAAATCGAATGATTTGTAGTTTCACTCCTTTGTGATGATAGAATGCCCCCAGAAAAATAGTCCTTGTTAAATGCTGGACACCACTTCTCCCTACAGTCATATAGCTTTTCTAACCAAGTATTCTTGTGACATTTATAGTCAGTCACCAACCTGAAAATGGTAAGACAAAATCCCAAATGATTATGAAGCAGAATATTAACAAGCAGCATCACCACATCTAACACATACTCAGAATTTCTACTGCTCTATATACATAATTGGAATACTATATGTCCATAATTGATAGACTATATATCCATAATCCATACTACTACATTTCCAGACACCACCAGTAAGTTCAACTGCTATATATCCATAATCGGTATACTATATATCCATAATCGGAATACTATATATCCATAATCCATATACTACATTTCCAGACACCACCACTGCTATATATCCATAATCGAAATACTATATATCCATAATTGATGCACTATACATCCATAATTACAAACGTAATGCAATAAAAACGATTAATTACTAACATACCTTGTCCAATAGAATTGAAATTCAGCTTCGGTCTCTGTGTATTTCAACACGTAGTTAAACATATCCAAGAAATCCTTATTGCTCCTTAACGTCTTGATATGCTTCTTTGAATTCTCACCGATATGCCATATGCAAAGACGATGACGTGATGTTGGAAACACTTTAGATATAGCAGCAGCCATAGCTGCACATTGATCTGTCATAATAGTCTGTGGAGACTTGTCACCCATTGATCTTGAAAACACTTTAAACAACCACACAAACGATTCTATCCTCTCGCTCATCAAAAACCCGCATCCAAACATTACATTCATGCAATGGTGATTCATCCCTACGAAAGGGGCACAAATCATATCGTATTTGTTTGTGCGATATGTCGTATCATGCACTAACAAGTCCCCAAACACCTCGTAATCTCGTCTCATTTGACCATCCCTCCAAAAAAAACTGCACAACCTTGCATCCAAGTCAAGTTCAAAATCAAAGAAAAAATCAGTCTCGGTAGACTGCCTCCTCCTAAAAATTTCAATTAAAGAGTTAGAATCCGTTCCATCCAATCGCTTGACAGTATCCGCAGCCATTGAATTATAAGCATCTCTACTGGTGAAACCAACTAAAGGGGACCCCCCCGATTGGTGTTTTAGGAACCTAATACCATCTGCCAATGCAACACCACTGTCCTTCAAACCTTGTAAATATAAGAGCTGATTATCTCCGACACTCCTATGTGAACGAAGTAGATGACTCTTGTTGAACACACATAACTCGTGATTGTGCACTTTCTCGTGTTTCGTAACTGTCCACAACCCATCATCACCCACGTCAAATTGAACAAACGCTCCACACCCTGTCCTTGTGTCAATTTTGGAATAAGCCTTAACCCCACTGTTAGCCTTGTAACCAGCCTTAGAACAACAAAATTTCTTCATTTGAATTGTGTTCGAAGATCCCTTGTATCGTTGATGACCCTTCCTCACACTAAAACCAAGTCTATATGCATAACTGTTATACACCTCAAAAGCCTCATCAGCATTACTTACTACCAAACCAGCCAAATCTTGATCAACTGCAAATATAACACAATAATAACCATTTCCATTAACACATAATTCCTAATCATAATTTGCTAATTAAAAGGTAAACCACTATGAATAAACCTGGAATTGATGAAGATCCATCAACATCTACATCTACTTGATCTGAACTCATTGAACCATCCACAATGCCTTCACTAACTACATTATATAGACATGGTGAACATTAATTCAAACAGTTCATCAAACAGAAAAAACAGAGTGTCTACAGATTCTGTATATATAGTTATATGATTATGGAAATATAGTTATACAATTCTGGATACACAGTCGCAACAAACTGCCAAAACAGAGTACCCCTAATTCTGAATATATAGACATGCAATTCTGGAAATATAGTTATGAAATTATGGAATTATTGTTTTCAAATTCTGAAATTGTTGTTACACAATTATGGAAATTACTTACGTGATTTTGCACAACTATTTGCAGATTCTAGACACAAACATCACTGCTAATCACATAATCATACAAAAAACCAAAAGGAACGATTGCAAAAACAATAACAAGATCACCTTGAATCGAATGCCAATCATCAACTGCGGAATTCGTCTGCTCTGTTCCATCCTCCATCTATCAATCACTTTGTAATTCCCGATTTCGATTTGCGAATGCGATTGAGATTGCGATCGCGATTCCGGTGATATCGAATGCCAATACCACAGCGAACAACTGCCAACGATCGAGTTTGAAACTTGGAAACAAACTCAAAAGGAATTTGGAAGTAAACGCCGTTAACGGAATTTTTTTTTTTTTTTATAAAACCCCGCGTCATTAGGCTAAAACGACGTCGTGTGGATCTGTATGCACCATGCATGGTGCATACAGATCCACAGCATAATTTGCCCACAACTTGTATAAAATATGGTCCACACAATAATGATTGCCCAGTCCATGCTAATTGTCTAATTGGACTTGTTATGATTATGATTGAGTATAGTGGACCTAACCCACATTTGATCCAGCCAAATAAGCCCATTATTGGCATTTGAAACGAGTGGCAAAAGGCAACATGTGAAGGCCCAAAATATAAGCAAATTGGGCCCTATCTTACAAAAGTTGCAAGTTTTTTTTTTTCCACAAAGAAATGACTTTTCCATACCCATTATGCCAACAATCTTTAAAATTGTTACACAAAATCCATAATTTAACAGCAAAACCTCTCATTTTACTTCATAATATTGACAATAGAGAATAACTTTTCTTTCTTTCTTAAGGGTTTTTTTTGGCCTAGAAGAGTTTCAGACATTCATTTTCACTAGCGAAAGTAACCTCTCAAAGTGAAGAAAGTTCCTTACGCACAGTAAAGAAAAACCTAGCCTCTATGTTCAATTGAGTTACGATGATTTACATTCTCCTACAAGTTGTGTCGAATCGGGACATGAGAACCCTAGGAGTTGGGGATTCAACTAACCTTTTGAAACAACAACAATGCAAAGACTATATAATAATCTATTCATTTCCCCAATTTAATTACATGCCAAAGATATCAACACAATTAGGCAATGGTATATATATCTAAAACAATAAATAACTCTCTACTCAATTCTGACCAAATTACCCTCCTAAACATACACCCAAAAAAACCAAAATCCTCTGCCCTTAAAAATGTAAACACCCTACGGTACAAGGGCATATATGGGCCAAATTAAAATTACAGTTGGGGGCGGTGCGGCTGAGGCTGGAGGATGGCAGTCCATGACTGAATGAGCCCGGGCGGCGCCGGCTGGTGGCGGTGGACGGTGGCTGCGGGCGGCATGGTGGCCGCGCATGAAGAGGAGGTGGAGGAGGTTGGCGGCGGAGACGAGAGCGGCGCGCGCTGGCACTGAGGGCACATGATGAGGGTGGTGGGCGGGCTCATGTTCATGTACAGCTGCGGCGACAGTTTCAGCGCCCGGAGGTCGTTGACCTCCTTGTGTAAACGCCGGTTTTCGTCGGCGAGCCGCTCGCAGCACCGCCGCAAGTACTCGCAATCTATCTCTGTCTGCTTCAGCTTCGTCCTACATTATATATATTGTTAGTTGTTTACAAACCTCAGCTCCTTATACAACAGCTAGCACACATGCATGCACATCTTTATATATATATATATATATATATATATATATATATATATATATATATATATCATTCATATAGAGATTATTCTTGAAGTGGTATAAAACTTTCATGCATATCTCGAGTTTTCATTTTTCCCAAAATGTTGAATTTCAAACCCCGAGGGCCCCACGTTCCAACTCGACATAGCATTTAAGTTTTCTCGAGTTTTCAGTATTGTACAAGATGTTGCAAACTTTAAAAAGCTTACAACCAATCTTGATTATCCAAATATGTAAACTCCATATTATCATATAATGTGCACTTTTAATGCTATATATTGCATGTATATTTTGTGTCCAAAACCTTTTATATATATATATATATATATATATATATATATATATATATATATATATACTTGTTAATTTATAATGCATCCTAGCTAGAAATAGCATTTGGTAATTACAACCCAATCCCCAACCCTATAAACCCTAATTTTAAATATTTATATTTATAATAAAAGGACGTTTATGAAATAATGAATTTTTGGATATTTTTTAGTCGAAAAATTCTACAATTTCATAGGATTTTTATTGCGTTATGATATTTAATACTCTAAAAAGTTATATTCTAAGCATAAATAACAATGTTGTATTACATGTTAAAGGCTTTCCTTTTATTATTATTATTATTATTATTATTATTATTATTATTATTATTATGCAAATTTGAATATGATAATGGCAATTGAAGTAGTAAAGAACAAAAACCATTCATTAATGCTCTAGTTTTTATGACAATAATACCCTTGTATGGAGTGAAGAATTACACACCTTGCCCTTCTGTTCTGGAACCAGACCTCCACTTGTCTGGGCTTAAGATTGAGCTGTTTCGCCAAGGCCACCTTTTGCTTCTGGAAATCAGAGGCAAATTTGAAAAGACATTATTACCCCGAGTGTTCCGAAAATAGCCTCGATTTATGAGCAAAAATTACAAAAGGGGTACCGGGTTGAGCGTGTTGTGGCCTCTGAAAGTGTCCTCAAGAACCGCCGCCTGTTCCTTGCTCAGCCGCAGCTTCTTCCTGGCGGCGGCGGCGGCCGCCGCGTCGTCTCCGGCATCGTCCTCCTCCATGGAGGAGGTGGCCATCTCCGCCTCCGCCTCCGCCGCCGTCTCGTACTCCCTCTCGCTTCGCTTCCCGGTCACCGTCGAGGCCGTGCTGTGCGGCGACGACGCCATCGCATTGTCGTCGTACTCCGACGCCGTCACTGGCTGGTTTATATCTATCCCCCCGCCATTTTCTGCATAAAAAACAGATTTAAAACATAAAATCAAACCTGATATCTTAGTGACCCAAAAATTAAGAAACTGTGAGAAAACTTACCAGAAGAAGAGTGGAGATTCCTGTGTTGCATGAAAGGGAGGCGAGGGTGGAGAAGATTGAGCGGGAAAGAACGGGGGGCTGTCGGCTCAAACCCATTACCGACGTTTTTGCCGTTGGTGGTCGCCGGCGGCGGCAATCCCAGGCTCAAACTCAGGCCAAAATCATCATTGCTCTCACCCATCTTTAGCTTTATTTCTTTGAAAAGAAGCCAATAACCCTTTTTTACTGTCTTCTTGGTGGTGGCTTTGGAATTGGCGAAGGGCTTTGTGTAGGGGACAGAAAGAAGGAAAATGGGGTGTGCTCTTTTGTAGTTGCAGTAGGTGTGCAGCTTTTTTATATTGACTGGTGTGTAGCATATAGCCCTAATAAGTATACATAGTAATATGTGTGTCTCTATATATATATAAGGTAAAATCTTCGAGAATATATAAAGCCTATGTACTTTTTTTATGGTACAATTTCATTATATATATAATAATAATGATTAAATGAGATCATTTTTTTTTTATAATGGTACAATCTATTGTGTGTATTCTTGTAGGGTCTCACGATCTCACGGGGAGAGGTGGTCTCACTGAAACATTAGTCAATATATATAAAAGGTGTTGATCGATATTGATGCGTATATACAAGTTATTTAGGTCATACATTATAATAAGAGTAATAAAATAACAAAATATAAATCTATATTAAATAATTACAACTTAAATACTTACCTATTTCACTATTTTACCAATACAAATATGTTTGTAAATTAAAAACATACAAATTTAAGTAATTTACTAATTTATTCTTCATATGTAAATTTGACTCTTTTTTTTTTTTTTGGTTCAATAATCCTTATTTTTTGGTTCCGCCTGAACTATATCTTGGACCTTATGAACTCACCCAAGACTTACAATAAAGAGGTAAATCTAGTCACTTTAAATTCGACTTTTGTTTTTAATTATTAAATATTCTTGCCATTTAGGTTTCACAATATTCGATACAATATATATATATATATATATATATATATATATATATATATATATATATATATATATATATATATAAAGGGGATATTATTATATATTAGTGATCAATGATGGCTTGTGTCCATGGGCATTGGCTCAATGATGGCGAAAGCGATTGATTGGCTTTTGTTGAAGTTAGGTTTTAGCACTGTTTTGGACCTTTCAACCCTTTGAATTTTAACTTTTTAACCATGGATTAAGACCTTTCATTAGGCATAGGCCACAGGGTAACAAATAACAATTGATCAGAGGATTATATTGTCTGCTTTTTTGTCCCATATATGTTTGCTTTTGGTATATTAGAAAGAATCATTTTTTTTTTCATTTGATTTTTATATTTAATAGAAATTTTTAGGGTAGTTTATAATTAAGTATATAAATCTTATTTATTATATCAAGTTACTAAATATAAAATGTTAGTTATAAACTATTTAAGTCAGTTTTCGTTAATTGAATTAAAAATTGAGACTAAGAACTCACAAAGGTGCGAATGAGATGATATAAATATTTTTCAGTTTAACTAGATGTTTTGGGTTTAAACTCTAAGAATACAACAATTTTAAAACCTATAAGGAGGTACTTTGTAACACTTTGAGGTCTTAATGTACCCATTAAGAATCTTTTTGAATAAGCTATTATCAATGAGACACATTAACATTTCAAAACATATTTGGTTGGTCAAACTTTATTTATTCTTCTTGGAAGAACATTATTAGATATCTATTAAATAATTCAGTTAACATCACGTACACTATTGAAAATATAAAGAGTCTCTACAATGCTAAATGACCATTGTGTCTTTTCTATAAGATCATTGCTACAAAATTGTAACAATACGTTTATATATGTTGTTTTATAATTTTTTTTTAAAGACGCTTAAAGTAGCGCAGTGATATTATCGTAATTGTTACGTGACTTTAGCCATTTGTTGTTTCTACAACACACATGCCTAAAGTTGTAATTTATTTATTTTTTTTTTTAAAAAACATGGGGACAATAGTATGACTAACATTATAATGACCTAATTGATAATGAACTAATTGTAATTATAATACCATAATACAACCTTGCCCAATACTAAGAATTGAAATTGACTTTAACCTATTGGCTATTGCTGTCACAGAACAACTGTGGGGACACCAAACCCACCCTTCAAACCATGTTTGTTAACAAGTCAAGAAGTCCCCAACTTTTTTTTTTTTATTTCCTTAATTTTGACTTCTCAATGAAAAGTTAATTAATTTTTCCATTGTTGACCGTTGACTAGGGTAATCATTACTCTCATGAGCAGCATTGGGAAGCTACTGCACCTCTGGGTGTCGCACACGCGCCTCCCTTCCGGCGGCTGTTGGATCGGAAACAACAGAGGTTGCCGGGCGGCGGTCAAGAGCGTGTCATTACCCGCGAATGTATGTATAGTTTTCTTTATATCATTTAATTAATGCATGGATATTACAGGGCGTTTGGTTGGAGGGATTTTAAATTCCCTTCCCAATTAATTCCCACCTAATTCCAAAGACCATTAAATTCCGTAGTTTGGTTGGAGGGAATTGCAATTCCCGCATTTTCATGGAATTAAAATCTCATGTCCCCCCGGTATTTTAATTCCTGGGAAAAAAAGATAGTGATGAGTCAAAATTACCCCTTCCTTTTTTAACCTAAAATTAATGTCTAACAACAATAATGGACATTTTTGACTTTATACTACTTATTCCCTTTCAATTCCCATGTATACCAAACATTGGAATTGAAATTTCCAGTAATTCTATTCCTGTCAACGAAACACTGGAATTAAAATTCTAACTTTATTCCCAGTAATTCAACTCCCATGGAATTACAATTCCTTTCCCACATAATTCCCTCCCTCCAACCAAACGCCCTGTTAGTGTCATAATTGTGTTTCTTAGTGTAGATTTTAGAAGGTTTTTTTTTTTTTTTTTTTTTTGGGGGGGGGGGGGGGGGGTGTTTAATTCGAGAAAACGGGTGGTCTTTAATTCTTAATAGCGTTTAATGATGGTATGTTACAACCTTAATTAATCCTTTGACTATAATTATGTCTAATCTCTTTATGATTATTGTTACAAAAATCCTATATTGTAAATTATTAATACAATTGCAATATAATGGTTAACTCTTATAAAAGCATAATATATTAAAGAAATTAAGACCGAATTTTTCTCTGAACCCTGATTGACTAAGAGCCAATGTGGCCCTAATTGTGCATGCACTGGGTTGATTATTTTGCCCTCTCGTGTTGTAACAATTTTTTTAATTTCATGTTAAAATTTACAAATGATATGGGGTGGTCATTTATGTAAAAAGACCAAAAAAAATTAGAAGTAAAATCATAATAAAACATAAAACACGTTACATACACACTTATAATGTTTATTAAATATGTCACTTGAAGTAAAACTTGTCACATTAATATATAATTATGGAGAAAATTGATGACATACTATTTATTTAATTAATGAATCGATTTGACAATTCATACAAATCTAAAGAACCAAAAGTGCAACTAATCCTATTATCATCAAAATATTAACCTTTACACATGGTCAAAGATATATGTGAATGCTTCTTGTACATAATTTGATTTTATTACACGCGATTTTATTAAATTATTTAGTAACGGATTTGACCAATTAAACATGGTTAATAAATATAAAAAAGTGTGGCACATAATTTGTTTACATGAAATCATGCTAAATTTAGTAAATCAAATTGGCATAATAAGTCGTCAAAGAGTATAATTGTGGTTATTTCAAATGACAGGTCACAAATTCAAACCACAATGAGGGCATTGACTATTTATGCTTTAGTAGATCTATGGATAGAAACTACAATGTAACAGATCTCAACTTAAGAGCAGGGTTCGAAATAGCTTCTTACCACTTCTTCCTAATTGAGTTTTTGTGCAGTTGAATATGAGCAATTGATCATGCTTAAATCAACATTCAGGATAAAAAAAAATGCAATGGTAATTTTTGCATCTAGGTCAAATTTAAGGTGCATGTTTTTTGTGCTTAAAGTGCGTGGTTTGTGTGCTTAAGGTAAGTAGTTGTTGAAACTTAAGATACGTGATTTGCATGTTTAAGGTGCGTGAGTTGTTGAAACTTAAGATGCGTCGTTTTATAACCAGGTGTGTGGTTTGTGTACTTTGCGTTGTTTTCCTTCTTAAGGTGCGTGATTTGTATGTTTAAGGTGCGTGAATTGTTGAAACTTAAGGTGCGCCATTTTATAACCTTAGGTGTGTGGTTTGTGTATTACTTAAGGTGCGTGGTTTGTGTATTTAAGGTGCGTCGGCCTAAAGCTTTTAGGTGCGTGTGATTTGTGTTTTTAAGGTGCTTTGTTTGTGTGCTCAAGGTACGTGGTTTGTGTACTTAAGGTGCGCCATTTTAATGTTTAAGGTGCGTCAACTGCACAATCGCACGGAAAGTTATACCCGCACCTGAACCCTTATATATATATATATATATATATATATATATATATATATATATGTAGTGAAAGGTTCTCATGCGGTTGATTAATGTGCGTGAACGTGTAAAATGCAGCAGAAAATATGAATGTCAGCTTCTTCCCCATCACCAGTAGCCATTGCCCCCTCCCTGATGATGATGATGCGGGGGCGGGCTATGGTGGTTAAGAATTATGGGAATAATACAACAGAAATCCACACTTAGCTGTTGTGCAAATTTTGCTGTGCGTGCATCATCTATATAAACATTCAACTGCACTGAAGGTAGCTGATAATCCAGAATCCATGGCCAAATTAAAGGAAGAAGTAACAAGAAGCTTGGGCGTTAATGTGCGTGAGTTTTCTGTTCTTCTTCCTTTTGAGCTCATAATTCTGAACTACTCACGCACATTAAGCACAAATCTCACGCATATTAATCACAATACTCAGGCACATTAAGTACAAAACTCACGCATATTAACATTACGCACATTAAGTATAAATCTCAGGCACATTAAGCATAACACTCACGTACATTAAGTATAAACCTCACGCACATTAATCCACCGCACAACCGCACGGGAAGCCACAAATGCACATGATCCCTTCCTATATATATATATATATATATATATATATATATATATATATATATATATATATATATATATATATATATATATATAAGAGCGCTCATATGTGGTCATGTCATTAGGTGTGGTCGTATCTGTGTCCTGTGTCGTTGAATCAGTTTAATCTAACGGCAGTGGCTAATTATGAGGATTTGAGGATTTTCGCGTGTGGGGGTGTTATGGTAATTACAGTGGCCATTTATAGCAGCCGGATTCCAGAATACACCAACAGTGTTGACAACATGCACCAATAGTATAATAAAACGCACCAATAGTGTATTCCCGAACATTGTATGATGTATTTA